AATGCTAAAAGTTATAAACATTCCACAATGTCGCATCAGAAGGAATATCCAATTAAATCTACAAGTCGGAGTAGAGAGGACTCAAGACACTGCTTATCTGGGGATAGAGGTTTCAAGGCTAACCACTCTGATAAGAATCCAAAGAAAAGAAGTCGTTCTCCTGATGACAAAAATTCTAGAAGACACATTCATTCGCATGAATTTAAACGCCAAGCTGTTGACTCCCTCTCTGCAGACAGAAGCAAAATAGATTCAAAGCAAAAGCATAAAAGCACAGTTCATCATCATCATCATCGTCGTCCTGGAAACAACAAAGATACCAGCTTTAAGAAAGATGCAAAAGTTATGAGGGTCGGTAAGCAGAATGGTGAACATTTGACTGAAGGTGAAGATTTGTTCTCAGGAGTCAATGTCACAACCAATGTCACACAGTTTGAGAACTGTCTTGAGAGGCAAGAAACAACAAACATACAACATTCTATTCTAAGGCCAGCAAATAGAGTTCGCTACAAAAGTCAAAAGCGTGTTTCATTCAGTGTTGATGTTAAAGACAATTCTGAAGAAAGTAAACAAAAAACTCTAATTTATCAATGTACCAGTTTGCCAAGAGACAAGTTACCAGCTTTTCAGCAAGGCACTCATTAAAATTATTCAATATGTCTGGAACACTGTACATATCAGTTAATGTAAGGGCTAAGGGTGAATTGATATTTATCGGTAAATGCATGTCAGTAACAAAGAAGTTACTGTATGTGTTATTGTTTCAACATCAGTCAGTAATGATTTATCTACACTATACTCACTGACACTATGGCATCCATGGTTGGCATAGTGAATAATCCAGGGATGGCACAGTAGGCATGTGTCATTATATTGACACTATGGCATCCATGGTTGGCATAGTGAATAATCCAGGGATGGCATGGTAGGCATGTGTCATTATACTGACACTATGGCATCCAGGGATGGCACAGTAGGCATGTGTCATTATACTGACACTATGGCATCCAGGGATGGCACAGTAGACATGTGTCATTATACTGGCACTATGGCATCCATGGTTGGCATAGTGAATAATCCAGGGATGGCACAGTAGGCATGTGTCATTATACTGACACTATGGTATCCAGGGATGGCACAGTAGGCATGTGTCATTATACTGACACTACGGCATCCAGAGATGGCACAGTAGACATGTGTCATACTGACACTATGGCATCC